AATTTTCACATTTTGGTGAATTTTTTTTTAAATTGGGCTCTCCATTACGGAGTAAAGTGATATTTTCCGTGAAAGATAAACGCATCATGATACACGTACGCTTATGAAATTCAAAATGAGAAAGTATCTCTCGAAGGGTTTCGTGTTGACCTTTTATATACAGTTTTACAAAAAAGATACGAAAGAGAAATCATTATATTAATATGACTTATTGAAACGAAAATGTGTCTCTATCTATTTTTTTAAACACCTATTTTTAATATTCACGAATTACTTCGTGAATGTAAGGCAGAAATGAGATATGATAATAGTGTCTCTGAATTTTTGACGCACTTCAAAATTCGTAGAATCCACACGGTGTATCAAACAAGCGACGATAAGATGAGAGACAGAGAGGGAAAATGACAAGTCTGGTATTCTAGAATTTAATCTCTCGGTATTCTGACAAGCAGAGGCTTCTGTAATGAAAGCGTGCATTGCCTGCAGGAGAACAGAAACTTGAATAAGGCAAAAGACGAAGAGAGCTACTCGAGAAAAGACATTATATTGTATGAGAAGAGGTTGTCATAATTTCAAGTCGGAAGCATCGGAGCCTCTTTCGCGCTCGGCTCGAATTTCATAGACTTCACGATGACGGTAGTCGCGCGATCTTTTGCGATCTTTTGAAATATATTAAATTGAGTTAGGACTCCAGTTCTCAAGCTCTGGAGTGTATTTTCGCCTTAAGCGGAAGGAGTATAATGCATCGATAATTAAAAGGAACATTTATGCATCTATCAAATATGCAGTTTTTTTACTGTATATTTGATAGCATAAATATTTTTTTAAAAGCACCTTTAATCTTTAACACAATTTCTGCTGATAAAGCTTATACACGTTGAGAATTTAAAAATACTTTACTTAAGAAAACCCTTCAACCAAAGCTGTTTATATTCTTACGGATTAAGATTTCTTTCAAAAGAAAACCTTTGCACATGTAAATATTAATCAAGCAACAGATTGCGTATCCTCATTGCGCGCGTATCCTGCATTTTTATCGATATCTCGATACCCTCATAATTCTCGCCTTTCAAAACTCTTGTATAGACGTAGAGAGCTCTTGTAATTGTACACCGAGACTATCCACAGTAAGAGAAATCAGATATCAACTGGATCAATTTCTATTGAAGGCACGGCGCTCTTTGAGAAAAGTGCGAAGTTTTTCACGAATAAATTTCACGCAAATTGCGAGTTACGCCGACTGATTGTGCGCTGATGCATTAAATAATGCTTTATTTGCCACAGTACCTGTCTTCAAATCAATATTTCTGAATCTAAATATGAACGATTTTTTTCCAAAAATTCGTTGGTCTCTGATGCGTCGATCGATTTGTTACAATATAAATAGACTACGAAAAATGTTCACATATTAAAGATTTTAGAGCTGTTGAAATTTTTCGTAGTCTATTTATATTTCAATAAATCGATCGACGCATCAGAGACAAATGAATTTTTGGAAAAAAATCGTTCATATTTAGATTCAGAAATATTGATTTGAAGACAGGTACTGTGGCAAATAGAGCATTATTTGTATACATTATATACTTATATATATATATATATATATATATATATGTCAACAAAAATTATTATAACGAATTGAAACTTAAGAAAACACTAAATTTCAAGTCTATTTAATAATCGCGTACTTAATATATGTTGAATGCACGAAGCCGCAATTTATCAGCGATGTGATTCGATGACGAAAAGACATCTAACAATAAGATTTTCGGATGTTAAAAGTAACAGCAGTAACAGGCAGAAGTAACAGACTTTTATTTTTGGTATCGTTTCGTCTCGTTTGAGAAATAGCGGACGAAAACTACTCGACGATGACCATAACGGGAGTGCGCGTCAGATGCAGGCTGACCCGTAGGTGAAAAGCCCGGCTTTGATGCGCTCCAGCGAACTGAAAGTTCTGCGAGTGCAAGCTCAACGGAGCGCGGGAACTGACGACTTTTCGCGCGCGCACGGTTAAAACCCCGCGCATTTTTCGTCCTCTTTCTGTTTCTCGCCTGTCTCCTATCGTTTTACCACACTCTTTCAGTCAAGACTGAAGAAACTTCTGTCAAGACTGATTACGATGTTGTTCTTCCTGAGAACTGAAGCTTTGGAAGAAAATAAAAGAGAGAGAATATCGCAATGCATGAAACATCATATGTGAATAACATCGAACGTTGCTTCCATACAAAACATGTGTTTACTATACATTTACATAGAAAGGAGCACGAAATTTCATACATTTTAATGTAAGACTTCACCTCCGAGAGATCGCGAGATAAAATAAAAATAGTGAACACGTCGTCCGTTAATAATAATTTTTTAACGTTTTACAATACATTCTATACACGATTTGTATTTTGTCAATAAGAAATATTTTATATAAGAAAGTGCACAATATGATACATCATGTACTCTTATTAGATATTCTACGCGTAAGCACGTAAGGAAATTCTTCACATCATAAGTCTTTTCAAATTGTCAAATTTTACATTTGTGTCGACACATGGAAAAATATTGCGCTTTTACGTGGAAATTTTAGAAGCATTTTTGTTGCTTCAAAGAATATTGTTATCGAGATGAGAACATAACTTTGGACACGTTGACACATATTATACGGTCTTTGTTGAAAATGGAGTATCAATGATGTCCTATTCTTTGTTGCTACTACAATATCGCGGCTAGTATCCTAGAAGAGAAACATCTCGTATTTATTCATGATATTTATATCTCACAATTTATACCGCTCGCGCTCCAATTTTTGCCGTAGGAATTTGAGCATCTTCTCAAGGATACTAGAGTTCAGTATACGTTTACTCATTAATAAGACTGTGTAAATATGCAATATATGTGAATACAATTAGAACCTTATTATTAATTAAATTTATCCATAAAAATTTCAAAATTTTATTCAAGATTGGCCAATCTTTAATGCTCTAATTAGTCTAATTTAACAATACGGGCGTGACGTACGCGATGTATCAATAGTTTACGTCAACCGGCGACGATGCAGCACGGCGCGATACACAGATATTACGAAACCCCTATCGACGAAATCCCGTTGACACAGTTGTTCGTAACCGCGTTACTCGCGCGATCGTCCTATCTCGGACAATGCAGGCGGCATTCGGAACGTCGCGTGCGATTCCGAGGCTACGTCGCCGCAGGAATACGCCGGGCGAGTATATTGCGCAATGCATTGTCGTCGCTTCGTGTCGCGGTGAGATAAACGTGACTCCGCTCGCCCTGAGAGCGGTAAACAAATAGAAAAAAAATAAAATAAACAATGGAACGGGCAAAAATGGGATGACCTTTTGGGAAACGCGAGCCCGGCCGATCTCTATGGGCGTTCGCTGCGTTTGCTCTCACCCTCGCGTAGCGGTGCTCATACCTCTCGTATCGGTTAGTCCCGCAAGATTCAATAATTTAAGCACAGTAATGGCCTGGCCATCGATCGACGCTCGGCTGGAGTTTAAAATATCTCGCGTTGCCCGCTCTTGCGATTTCCCAGTGCTTATTTTTCCTTCCCGTCGCTTCTCTAAATTGCGAAATGTTCTGCACCGCAACGGCGATGTTTGTCGAGAACATTAACTCAGCAAATGAATGTTTATTGACAGGATCGTTAATCCAGGTTCATAACGAAGCTATTATTTATTAAAGGAAAACACGACACTCACGAATCGTTTTGCGTTACATATATTCACAAATTTTTGGATAAATTTCTTCTCAGGTCGATTGTAAAGCGGCTAAGACTTCTTCGAAAGGAATCGAATATCTTCAACGTGGAGACGACGTCAAATAACTCAACGTAATTTCTGCCTTTAACGTTAACGAGGGCAAAAGTGCAATTATTTAGACACAAATCTCTGCCGCCTTGGTACATATCGATCGGCATCGACTACGTGGTTAAAAATATCTATTCGCATGCCTGGATGCATTATGGCAGTTTAGGCCGTCCTCCTTGAACTTCCTTTTTCGCCCCTTTCCTCAACCAAGCGCAGGACGATGGTGTCGAAGGTCGGGATAATCAATGGACGGTTTATTGCCGAAAGTGAAGCATTCCATGTTTGTATTAAGTGCAAGACAATTTAGAATATCGAAAAACGATTCATCTCCTTGTCACGTCTCGTCGCATCGGTATTTGTCTGCCTTTAATTTATGAGACAAAATAATAATTTTGTAATTTATACAATTAGAGGTGCATTATTTTAGAATAAAATTATCGCGCAGTAGAGAACGATGTAAATTTCTGCTGCTTGCAGAGACAATTAAGTTAGACGATTACATTTATACAGAAACTGGGCCAAGTACAGATTAATGTGTACTTGGAACATTGATCGAGGTATTAATTGAAACTATTGTCCAAACGGATGCATACCTATACATGCATCCGTTTCTGAAGGACCCCGTTTCTGGAGACGTATTCGTCAATCTTCCGGTGACGCATGCGTCACGTCGTCATTTTCACAAAAGCGGAAACTGCATAGTTCATCTCCTCCACTGTCACAGTACGACGCGCACTTCATCCATTCGTATTATGCACGCGTCTGCGGACGTATGCTCGCTCAAATACATCTGCATTTATATCGCGCGTTTGCGTAAGCGAGGATGCATCGTCATCGTGCATTAAGTGCATCCCGTTCTCGAAGCGGGAGGCACTTTTTCAGTTAGCCGCTAAGCGTGCCGAATGAGCGATGTTAGTAACGATAAACATTGCAAAACGATGCCGTATATATGTAAACTGTTCGAGGGGGCAGCGATATATTATGGCTGTATTCTAAATATAAGAATACACATGACGCAAACGGGATATATATAAAACCCTTCGCTGTCGCGATAATCATCGTTCGGGAGCCGAGTGAGTTACAGTCAATATACACCTTCTTCGCGTTGGAAAGCTTTCGATTTTTTCTCGAGTTTTATTTATTTGTAGAGGGGTAGCAATTTGAAGTTATACTTACCGCGGAATTTCGCCGATTCGCGGTGGCCGATACTTTCGCGGACTACCCACGTCGCTCCATACGTTGCAAGCTGGAAAATGGAAAACAAGTACTTCAGTTAACGCGATAATGAGTTTCGATGCGTAGCGTTACTGCGCAAAATAATATTGATATGAAGAAATAGAGCTAGTTAAATTGCACACTCAACATTAATTACATTGTTGTGAATAATATTAAAATTACGAGAATTACCTACGCAACATTCGTGAAAGTATTTTAAATAGTCGTTTGCTTCTTTCTCCTGTGAAAATCTTTCTCAATATTACTCACTGTTCGGAGCAGATTACTGAAATAGATTACTTCGCAATTTTTAACGAATCATAATCTAGCAATTTTTTTTATTTTTTTTTTATAGAATCAATTGATTTTTAACTGTCGAAAAATTGCAAATATTTACGCGAGAAATGGAATGTCCATACGTCGCATTCGCGATAGAGACAATTTGTGACGGGAAGGATTTGCGTGTTTCGAGGGAAGCTATATAGTTTTTCCGGCCGGTGCGAGTGCTTCGTGCGGACACGCTCGTCTTTCCTCCGTTCATAACAATGAAATTATGCGGATCAATTCCACGAGATGGGCACATTTCCACGTTTGCCTGCTATAATTCAGCTCCTCTTCCGGACATCGAGCACAATTGCGTCTCACTTTACATATCGCTTTCTCGTTTCCAGCATACGTGTCACGATAGCATTTGCTAGTTGAGGCGCAAATAATTTTACAAATACAAGTCATTTGGAAAAATTGATATAAGTAGCCTTTATTAAATGAAGATTTTATCATCGATCAGCTTCATGATTGTATTAGATATAAAAAAAGAACTTTATTAAAAAAAACTTGTTCTATCTGTCATTCATCAGTTTATCAACATTTCAATTATAGAGTTATGTTTCTTGGAAAACTCGTAATATATGGAACGAATGATATCGACGAAATTGAGTTTATTGTCAATTGCTGTTGTTATCGCCTCGTATGCCCGGTTTATGACTTCATCTCGATGTTGTGAAGATTATTTGTTTGATTGTCGAATGTATTTTCACGAGATTATAATTCCGCTTGATGAATAATATTTCCGCAGAACACATTGTTTCTAGTATTTTGAAAATTGTTTCTCAATGATGAATTTATCTTCGGGTTAAGAAATCAAGCAATATTGTGAAATTATGTTTATTATAATATAAAAGAAGAATTTATATATCTATTCCGTATGTGTGTGTATATGTGTGATTGATAAAAATTACTTTGAAGAATTCGTATAATAAGAATTTTCAAAAGCTCAAATATATTTTTCTCAATATATCTTTTAGTGCGCATTAATGGCGGAATTACTTTTTTATATTTATATTGTTTACAAAATATAAATACAATATTTGTAAGAATTGATCAGCATTTCCAACCGCTCGTGAAGTAAACAATCTTGTGACTCGTAGAGCTCTTTATGAGCAAATAGGTAGGCGTAATATTGAAAGAATTGTAGAAGAAAGTAAGCACGGCAAGTTTAATCGAAGCTCTAAGAATACCGCGCTGTAACGGATATTAAAGGTTCACCCTGTTACACGAGCGACATTTGCTAATTATAAAGTTCCGCTTTTACAAAGTCACGAAGTGATATCGATTATGCAGGCGTAATCGAGTATGAAACCGAACGATTTAATCCCTGCAATGCCGCATTTTTTTCTCTTAAAAACGCTGGAAATATTAAAATATTTAAATTATTTTTCTATTTCTAAAAACGTATCGCTTTTAAAATCGTAACGTGTTTCAAATTATCGCTAAAGAATTTTTTTTACGTTTACTGTTTGCATGCGATCCGCACGTGTGCGTTACGATTAAAAAAATACTGCATCATTAAATTCATAGTTTAATACATGCGAGAGAGAGAGAGAGAGAGAGAGAGAGAGAGAGAGAGAGAGAGAAAGAGAGAGAGAGCGCATATATATTTGTTAAATATTTAATTAAAATAAAATTTGTGAACATACGACGCGTATGTTTGCGAATGACCAATGATTAATGTGTGGATGTTGACGTTGAAATTACTACAAATATCCTTTTCATTACTTTGTATAAATTATGTATATTGCATATGATTTTAATTACAGTAATTCATGATGTATTGCAAACACAAGCGATTAAAATGCGCACGTAGCACGTGCGTTTGATATCAGCAAACTTGCGCTTTTCGTAAATAGGGCAACTTTTTGAAATTGCCCCGCGGCAACTACGTTCAACGAGCATTAATTTTTTTCGTGTTGAATAACCTCGCTATAGTTTTTACGCTGCCATTATTTTTCCAATAAACTTTCACAAAACTTTTATATTAAACGCAGTGCATTGTTCTTTGAGATGCAAACAAGCTTTTTTTTAAAGTAACAATAATGCCAATTCAATATTTCTTCTCAAATAGAAATGGAAAAATAAAATTGAAGATAGAAAGCATTTTGTAATTATCGAAGTACATTAGTCGAGCTGCATTCAATCTTGACAGCGCGAGAACAACGTTAATTGCAGGATTGACATTGAAATTTTGTCAATACGATAAACCTACTATTGATTACGGAAGTTCTCACTTTTTATTGGAATGACGACGCCGACAGCTGACGAGTGAGTTTGCGGACTGCTAGCAATTTCGTATTCAGTAATTTTTTCTCACCCCGCAGCTTGCGTTTCCTCTAAATTCGCGCACATTATAACAGCTGTTGCACTTGCTATATCAGCGTAAATGTAAAAAATCCTCATTTCTTTCGACAATTTGTATGAATTCATCGAAATGTATCACGTTACAACATTTGTACACGATTGATAAAAGAAATTGCTTTTTTAATGGAACATTTAATACGGTTTGTTGTTTGTCACAATCTAAATTTTTTTTAAACTTAAGCTAAATTTGTAGACCAAGAACAATAACAAAAAGTGCTTTCTGTTATCTGTGTTAAGAAGCACATATATCTTAAAATATATTACTATTTTCGAGAATATATATACGACTAGGTATATACTTAAACGTTTTTTATGTGTAAAAATATGAGATAAGATGTCTCTCCAGAAACTTGATGAAGTCTATGCTACATCGTTCACAAACATTTTAATTTTGTTTCTCTAGTTCTTGACTGTCGGTAGTTATAAAATTTTGTCATCTGGCTATAATTAATTGATAGTTGGTAGAACTCATGTAATTCTGTTTCATTGATTTAATACAGCGTATTTATATGTGATAACGAAATTTTCTACAACGCTCTTTCAATCAAGTGAAATTATAATAATTGGATTATTGCGGACTAGATAAAAAGTTGAATTCAATCAAATAACATAATAAGCAGAGAGAAAATTTACAAACGGGAGATGATATTTTTATAATATTTCGTGATGTTATTACACAAATCATATTTTATCATATTTTGTAATTAATTAATTATTTTGCACTGGAATTATTTTCATTGCTTATCATAAAAGGCGTGAATAAAATATAAAAAAGATTATGAAACTTTGCAAATTGCAAAATTTCATGATTATTTTTCTATTAATTTTATTTTTTATTTTAATTTTTTAAATCGTTATGTTATTATATTTTAGAGAATATATACGTACGCCAGTTTGGATGCTTTATTAATCGAATAAAATGCATATTTATAATACTTGTTTTTGATAGTTGCTGCACTACATGTTGAAAGACTTTGTTACTGTCTACATTGGCTAATAATTAAGCCATAATTAATTGCTGATATGAAAATGAAAACTTGATGATTCTCATTTTGTATGGAGATACCGGGATAATTATTGGCAAAGGATAATACACGATTATTTCTGAATTGTCGACCACCGAAATAATTAAGTTCTTTACAAAATCGAAAATAATTTACCATAAATATTTTTTTTAATTTTCAAATAATTCTCTCTCTTGTATTCGTAAAAACAATGCATTTTTATAAATTTTTCAAGAAAATAAATCAAATTTAAATATTAATATTGTAAGCATTTATAAATTATATTCAAATTGCTTTCACGATTTATACCATTTATAAATGTTACAATATCTTGTTTATTTTTTCGTATAAAAACATTGAAACAGCATTAATTTGATAAATGCATGTTAAACAAAAGATGCAAATTGCCATTTGTGAATATGCGAAATTAGTGATATATTTTGTGACACACCGTGACGCATTGTATTGCTATTGAAAAGATTCTTAAACGCCTAAATTTCAATTAAATATAAAAAATGTTCAGTGCTTAATTTTAAAATTTTTTAATTCTATTATTACAATTATTTAAATATTAAGCGCGGAAGCTTTTCTTTTCTTTTTGTTTTTATTTAAGCTGCATAGCGAGTAAATTCCTTCGTTCTCTTTTTTTTTAATAGATCCAATATCTTCAAGTCTTTCTTACATTGCGTTATTATTTATAATGTATTAAGAAAAGAAAATATGAAAAAATAATTGCATACACGTAGACACGCATAAGTATAAATTTATAAATTTCTTTCTATGATTTTAGATGTTTAAAATTCTCGAATTTTATAGAATTTCCTTTAAGTTTGTATTCTTAAAAGATTTTTTTTTTAATGTTATTTAAATTGCTTTATTGATCCTTTTTCAAACTTCTTTATTAATAATGTTAATAATAGCTAGACAGATTAATAATAATAACATAAATTTTGACAATATTCAAGAATTAAAGAAATGATAATTTTATCTTTTTAAAACATATAAAAACGAAATTGTTGCACGTTTATCGTGATAAAAAGTGCAAATTTTCTCGCGCGGAAGATTCCGGAAAGTGTCCGGGATTTTCACGTGCGAGTATCGGGCACGGAGGAAGCAGTTAGGCGAGGAAATCTGGATGAGACTGCAATACGAAAGGGAGCAGTGATGGTGTTACAAGGGTGTGTGCGTCTCGTGTTCAAGTATCCGGCAGACGATTCGTAGGCGCATGAGTAAATCAATTGTTCAAATCATCAAGAGACCGGCGACCGCGCATCCGTATTATCTTGGCCATATCCTCCTTTCTGGTTATAATCAATTCTCGCTAACTCCTCGG